GGACTGCAGCCTGGGGCTCGCAGGCGTGAGCGCGACCAAGATGGGCAACCTGAGCGGATGCGGAACGCCCGCCCGGATCTCCCGAGAGGCTTCTGGGATTTCCCGAGAGGATTCTGCGCGCGTCCGAGAGGCCCCAGAAAGCTCCCGCGAGGCATCTGGGCATCCTTTAGAGGTCCCGAGAAGCCTCTGGGAGTTCCCTGCAGGCTTCGAGGCTTCTGGGAGCTACCGATGCGCTTCTGGAGCTTCCGATGGGGGCGCTGCGAGCTTGCGGGGCCGTCTTGAGGGCTGGCTCCGAGATTTCTCGGGCGTTTTCGTGTGGCGTTTCGACAGCCTCTTGGGCCGTCTCAGAGACGTCATCAGAGTTTGCGGGGCCATTTTCTACGTTTGCCAGAACGGGAAGGCCTCGGTGCGTAAAAGAGAACCCAACGTAGTATGTTCATTGCGGCCCGTCGGGGGCCTCCTGGGTGAGCCGTTGGGGTCTTCGGTGGGAGTCTTGGGGCTCTTGGAGCACGGTGAGCGAGGAGATGGCGATGGCCGCGGCAACGGCGACGATGGGGTTCATGATGATAATCAGGCGGAGGATGGGGGGGATGTGAGTTTAGAGGAATTCAGCAGTAGGAATCAGCAGGGCAAAGCAGATTTCAGCAGGGTTCGGCAGGGCTTCGCAGGGCTTGCCAAAGTTCACCAGGATTTATCAGGGCTTACGAGGGCTTATCAGGGTTTGGCAACGCTTACCAAGGGCCAGCAGGGCTCCGCCATGTTTAGCAAAGCTTAGCAGCACTTAGCGCGGCGAAGCATGGCTTGCCAGAGCTTGCAGGGCCCAGCAGAGCCCAGCAGGGCGCTGCAGCGAAGTGTCCTCGCCGCCCTGGCGCAACACTGCCGGCTAAATATTGTCGCGCCCTTCGCTTGAAGCTGCCAGCGAAATGCCCTCACAGCCCCTGGCCAAAAATCGCCAGCGAGATTTCCTCATCCCCTGGCCGAAAACCGCCGGCGAAGTATCCTTAAACCCCGCGGCCATAAAACTGCCAGCGAAATATCCCCACCGCCCCTGGCCTATAACCGCCGGTCAAATCTCCTCACCCCATGGCCGGACTTAAGACTGCCAGCGGAATATCCTCACCACTCCTGGCCTAAAACTGCCAACGAAATATCCCCCCCTGGACTTCAAACAGCCAGCGAAATACTCTGCAATACCCTGACATAGAACTATCAGTGAAATACTCCAGGCTTGAAGCTGTCATCGCAATATCCCCACCGCCCCTGGCCTACAACTGCCAGCGGCATATCCTCACCCCTTGTCCTAAGACCGCCAGCGGAATATCCTCAACCCTTGGCCTTCATACTGCCAACGAAATATCTTCACCGCCCCTGGCCTAAACCTGCCAGCCAAATATCCTCACTCCCTGGACTTACAACTGACAGCGAAATACCCTCACCACCCTGGCTGAAAATTGCCACCGACATATCCTTACCCCCAGGGAAAAAAAACTGTCATGTGACGGCTTTGGTGCTTCAGTTGTCAGTCAGTCAGTCAAGCAAACAGTCAGTCTACTGCCCGAAAATGAAGTTACGGGCTGCGCGCGTGAAAAAGTAATGGGGAAAAAGATTATGGACGGTACATTGCGTAATGCTGATGTTGCTTCCAGCTGTCTAAGGCGTTTCCTGGCGCGGATTGGGGCTCCACCCGATGCCTCTTGTGCGCCTCTCGGGGCCTTTAGGGCCATCCACTTGTGCAAACGCGGGAGGCGCCCGGACAGCAAGCCCGCTCAGGCGCGACGAGATCCAAGTCTGGGTGAAGGCGCGTTCGGCGCTGCCGGCGTGCCGTCTGCGTGCCCAAGAGACCAGTTCACAGAGACGACAAAATGCGAACGCTTTGCCGCCCCTTTTCCCACCTGTTTCCCACTTCCCCCTCCCTCGATGCCGCTGTCACACGCCAGTTGGGCGGCGCAGCGCCCGCAGCCGCAGCAGCAACGTGCCAAAGATCAGCGCACCGGGGGCAGGGCCGAGTTGGTGCTGCCGACGGCGACGGCCAGAGCGTAATGAACTGCTTGCAAATCGCGTTTGCCCGTGCTCGCGGCCGTATGGTCGCCCTCCCCAAGGAGGCCGCCAATCTGGAATCTGGATCTGACCAGGCCCCTCACGAACACGTATAGCAGTGTGTAACCTCGATGCCGACCCGCGTGCCACTTCGGGCGGCTAGGCGCGGGGCGGGTCGAGGAGAGGGGCAGTTGCCCAGCCGCGGCCGCCGCCCCGACGCATGTTCAGCCCGGCCATTCGGCGCGGGGTTGGGCGCAGCCCTCGTTGCCGCCCAGTGGGGGACATAACGGGACCTCCTTTGCCCAGAGCATGCCGAACTCCCGACTCTGGGTTTTCATAACCAAAACCATAACCAGGAGAGGGGCGGTGGGGGAAGGAGGACGCCGACGTCGTGAGGGGGACGGAGGGAGATTGGTGGGGAGGGGGAGGGGGAAAAGGAGGAAAAAGAGGGGAAGGTGGCGGACGAGGAGGAGGAGGAGGAGGAGGAGGAGGAGGAGGAGGAGGACGACGACGACGACGACGACGAGGGCGGAGGAGGCGGAAGGCGAGGAGGGGGTAGGAGAGGGAGGAGACGGCGGAAGGAGCAGCCGGAGGAGTTGGACGACTGGGCTGGATTGGTGAGGCGGAGGACGGAGGACGAGGACAAAGAGGAGTTGGCGAAGTGCGGGGGTCGGAGGTAGGGCCCGAGAGGAGTCGCGGTCGGCGCGGGCGCCCACGCGCCGCGCAGAGCCTTCCAAGAACGTCCCCCGCAGTCGCCCAGGGAGACTCCAAGCGCGAGTTGCCGGGCACGTAGGGGCGCTCGGGCATCCCCCCTTAGGGCGCTCTGGGTCCTCATGGCTGCCCTGGACTGCTTCCTGGCCTTATCCAGCGATTCCTGGATCGTCCATCAGGAAGTGCGCTACCGCATGGTGATCCTTGCGGGATGATGTCCATCCTCATCCGATCCTATGGGATTGGCTCGAACTGCTCGATTGACACATATATACATGTATGTGTGTATGTAGGTATGTGTGTATGTATGTATGTATGTATGTATGTATGTATGCATGCATGCATGCATGCATGCATGCATGCATGCATGCATGTATGTATGTATGTATGTATGTATGTATGTAGGTATGTAGGTATGTAGGTATGTAGGTATGTAGGTATGTAGGTATGTAGGTATGTAGGTATGTAGGTATGTAGGTATGTAGGTATGTAGGTATGTAGGTAGGTAGGTAGGTAGGTAGGTAGGTAGGTAGGTAGGTAGGTAGGTAGGTATGCATGTAGGTATGTATGCATGTAGGTAGGTAGGTATGTATGTATGTATGTATGTGTGTGTGTTTGAAACATATAATTGGCGCGCGTAGGTTCCTGCTGAGCCGGGGCGGAAAGGGCGTCACATATCCACAGGACCGCCGCCTTGGGGGCCGAGTTCTGGAGGCCTCGGCAGGCGGCGGATGTGGATATGCATGTCTGGACACGACGGAAGAAAACACATACACACACCCACGCATGCCCGTAAGGGGGGTCGGAGGCAGGAGGAATTGTTCTGGGTACGGGTGCGGGTTGTCGGACCCCGGGGGGGGGGGGGGGCTCCCGTTCGAGCGGGGGCCCCAATCCGCCAGCACGCACGCATGCTGGCCCTCTCCGCCCCCCCTTGTGAGAACGGGCGCGTGTCGTTCGCTCGTCATTGGAACCTACGCTTGGCGTTCCAGGTCCAGATCTGCTTTGGGCGCCTTCTTGTTTCAAGGGTTCGGCGGCGTTCCCGCTTCCATCTTCTTGACGGGGGCGGGTGGATGCGCAATCTGCTTCCAACGTGTTCCTGCGTCATGCTCCCATCGGCTTTTTCCCGACCGAGGGGAATTCGGGCCAAAAGGGAGGTGCGAACATGTCCATGTTCGGCACGAACGAAATGGGTACGGAAAGAATGGGTACAATGCCCAACAGCAGTTCCTGTTCACTTTGAACAGGACTCGCTGTCCGCGCCGCCGCGGCCTGTGTCTATTTGAGACAGAAGGCCGCCTGCCCAACAGCGGCCGCTGTTGGTTAGAGACAACATGTGTTGTTGGGCATTGTACCAATTTTTTCCTCCTCCTTCTCCTCCCCCTCCTCCTCCTCCTCCTCCTCCTCCTCCTCCTCCTCCTCCTCATCATCATCATCATCATCATCATCATCATCATCATCATCCTCGTCCTACAGCTCCGTCCAGGCTCTCCGGGCCGCGTGCCCAGACCTCCGACGGCATGACGTCGCATGCCGTGCGGCACCGGCTTCCTCGACGTCGGCCTCCGGGGAGCCCTTCGTCGTGGGCCCCTGCGCCACATGGACAGAGAGGAGGAGGAGGAGGAGGAGGAGGAGGAGGAGGAGGAGGGGGAGGAGGAGGAGGAGGAGGGGGAGGAGGAGGAGGAGGAGGAGGAGGAGAGGAGGAGGAGGAGGAGGAGGAGGAGGAGGACGAGGAGGAGGAGGACCAGTGCAAACGCAAGAGTCGTCAACGGTGCTGGAGCGCTCCTGGAGCGCGCCGGGACGCTCCAGGGGCAGGCCGCGGCGCGCCCGAGACGTCCTCCAGAGAGCCGCCGGGTCGCAGAGGTTCCCGATGTGTCCTCGCCCGATGTTATCCTCGTCCTGGTTTCGTCTTAGGGGAGGAGGAGGAGGAGGAGGAGGAGGAGGAGGAGGATTTGACCTCACCCGATGTTTCCCTCGTCCTGGCTTCCTCTTGCAGCCACACCTCAGAACAAGGATGGGCAACCTTCGCAAGGGTACCCTTGCATCCTTGCCTCCTCGGGCCATCCCTCGTCCCCCCCGCTGGCCGCGCGCCCCGCTCGAGGAGCTTCGACATGGGCGTCCAGGGCCCCTGCATCCTTGTCGCGCATCCTTGTGATACTGGCCGATGGTCAGAGCCCGTCCTCTCTGGGGCTCCCCCGGCCGCCGCCGCCGCCGCCGCGGCCCCGCGGGCCGGGAGCGGCGTCGGCGGGCGCCAGGCCCTGCAGCGGCTGCGCACCACGGAGGGCGAGGCTGCCCCGGCGCGCTTCGAGGACGGAGGGGGTCGCTGCCGTCTGCGCCGTCGCCGAGAGGAGGGATAAAACGACGCGAAGGTCGGGACAAAATCGGATCGGGATAACTCGAAGTCTCTGAGAATCGGCGGGTTTGGAGGCTGTATTGGGCGCCGCGGCCGCTCCAGAGCGCTCCGGAACGCTCTGAGAGCGCTCGGGAACGCTCTGGAGCGATTTATCCCGATCCTAGCCCTGTTTTGCAAGGGGCCTCCCAACGGCCCCAAGAGGCTTGAAAACTGCCTCCACGAGGCCCCCGAGAGGCCTCCTGCGACATCCCTTCGAACATCCTAAAGTCGGCGGCGAGCGAGGGGAGGAAGTGAGAAGGAGAAGGCCTTCTCACCTTCTCCGAAGGATCCTAGCCCTGTTTTAAGGAAGCGGCAGCGCTGCCGCGGCCCGTCTCGCGTCGCCCGAGGGGCCTTTTGGCCAGGCTCCGCGCGCTCGGGCTCCGCGGCCTCGGGCAGACAGGTGTCCCTCGGGCAGGCCCGCATGCCTCTGCCCCAGTGATCCATCCGGCGGATGCGCTCTGAGCCGCTATCCCTCTACCCGTCGCCCAGTGGTGATGATAACTGGCTGGTCGGGGATCGTGACGAGTGAGTGGGTGAGTGAGTGGGTGAGCGAGCGAGCGAGTGAGCGAGTGATGATGATGATGATGATGATGATGATGATGAGGAGGAGGAGGAGGAGGAGGAGGAGGAGGAGGAGGAGGAGTGTGTGAGCGGTGGGCATGTGAGTGAGAGGGTGAGTGAGAGTAGGATGGAAGAGGGGTGAGGAGGATGATGATGAGGAGGAGGAGATTCTGCGCGGGGGGCGCGCAGAGAAAACAATAACCCCACGTTGGGTGTGGTGAACTATGATCTTCGCTGCCCCGTTGGAGGCAACCTCTTGTGTCGGTGTTGCATCCCCGTGATATATATATATACATACATACATACATACATACATACATACATACATACATACATACATACATACATACATACATATATATAATATTTACATATATATAGATGACAAAAGTGGCACCATGATGGAAGCCAAAACGATGTTGAATCAGACCATGCGGGGCCCGTCGCACGAAGCGACATCGGCCTGGCAATGTTACGAAAGGGCGTCTCGTCTGCATTGCGCGGTGCACGTTAGCCATCCGACTGTGGGAACGAAGTCGCACGGCAGAACGTGGAACCGCCCACGCCAGCGGCCCTGAGAAGGATCAATTTGGAAGAGCACCCGGGCATTCAGTGGCGTCCGCCTAGGCGAATGTCATTTCATGATCCTCTTTAGGCGTTGTTGATTTTGTTATAACTTGTTTCCCGGCTGTACAGCGTCAATTTTCAGGCCTCCAACTGTCCGGATGGACGGGCACCAGCCTGAACAATTTTCCGAGCCGCGTCCATCCGGAACGGCGGAAAGTTAAGAGGCTTTTCAAGGACATCTTCTCAAGCCTCCGAGCCCGCGACCCCCCCCAGGATGATGAGGGGAAGGAGGGGGAAGCAGCAGACGGAGATGGACGCAGAGAAGGGAGGAGGAGGAGAAGGAGGAGGAGGAGGACCCGGAGGAGGAAGAGGAGGAGGAGGAGGAGGAGGAGGAGGAGGAGGAGGAGGAAGAGGGGAAGGAGGAGGAGGAGGAGGAGGAGGAGGAGGAGGCGGAGGAGATGCTGATGCGGAGGAGGCTGAGGAGGCTCCTGAGAAAATCTGTGCGGAGGAGGCTCACGAGTTCGCGGGTTGGGCTACAAGCAAAATGGTGCGCTGTTCTTCAGAGTCGAAAAGTCGAAGTCAGGCCCTGCCTGGCAGAAGTTGCAATCAAGAACCCCACCAGCACCGACCCTCTACGAAATTTCTCCATTACCGAAGCTCGTTGAGGGAAAACAGATCGTGCAAGAGATATCCACTCAACTTGGGTGGAAGGCAGAGTTTGTTCATATACGCTCCAGGGGAAGAGGTGCCAAAGCCACGCCAGTCGTACGTTGTCGAGCTGAAGGCCCCCCGTCGGTCTCGGACCTCACCCTGGCAGGAGTCAAAGCAACAATCAACATGGTTAAGCAGAAGAGTGCCACACCAGCCCCATCGGCAACATCCTGGGCTGAGATGATCACGAAGTATGACAAACCTGAGCCCAAGACGACACCGGCTACTAAGAAAACAAGTTTGGCTGCACAACTCACACGACCAGCTCCTGCTCCGCAGCAAGGTCAGCCAGCGCAGCAAACTCCACCACCCTCAGACACACCACCATCTACGCCAGGCTCCGCGATGTCCCCTGAATTTCAGAAGTTTCTGCTTGAAGCAATTGGACAGGCGGTGACTGCAAATAATCAGAAGATCTTTGCCCAATTACAGCTTCAGGGGCAGGGTCTCGCAAAGTGCTTCGAAGTTCTCCGCTCAGATGGAGGCTTATCCAGTGCTGAGCAGCAACAGGATGAAGAGATTGAACGTCTGAGCAAAAGGCTCAAAGACAGTGCTGCAACTGATATGGATCAGTGATGATGCCCTCACGCCGCCTGCGAGGGAAACAAGCACCTGCAGCACCTTCCTGTGGTCCTGCAGGTCTCGCCACTATCCTTTCTGCAAATATTACCAGCTGGAATACTTTTTCTGGCCGCCTTGCTCTCATGAATGCAGATGTCCTTGCGCTGCAGGAGACACGCCTCAATTTGAAGGAGCAGATGGCTTGCACTAAAGCCTGTGCTGCATATGGATACAATGTTTGTTTTGGACTTCCTGTTCGCCAACAACGATGTCATGGCGAAAAGTTCCATCGCAGCTCCCAGGGTGGGGTTGCTATTCTGTCAAGAACTACTTTTACTGCAATGGAAAGCGGACGCAAGCATGGTGCAGCCAAGGAGTTGTATCACAGCACCCGCTGGCAACGGCAACTTGTGATGCTGGGGGCTACTCCTGTTCACATCATTTCTATGTATAATGAGTCGGGCAATGACCCATTGATTCGTACACGCAATGATCGAAACTTTCAGTTTGCCTTCGAGGACGCCGAGGCCCTGGGCGACCAGCCGGTGGTCATGTGCGTGGACTCGAATACGACAATTGCACAAACATCCACGCTGTCCGCAGCCCTGGCTACAGGGCGATGGCACGATGTTGGAGCTATGTATGGAGCGGAACCTACTTACGGCCTGGACCCGAAGTGGGATAAGTATTCGACAGGCAATCATGTTACACGCCCTGATCTTATTTTGGTCAGTACGGCAGCTCGAGATTCCATCCACTCTTTTCGCTTGCGACGGGACCTGGGGATCAAGTGCCACCTAGGTCTGGAGCTCACGCTGAATATCACCAAGCTCTCAGAGGTCTGGCAAAGGTATCGTATGCCTGTGGCCTATCCCGTTGAGCTAGTCAAGAAGATCTCTGAGGAGGACAACGAAGCGTTGGGCAAAGAATGTGTGGATGAGTATTACGACCGGTTCTACGAGGCACTGGACAAAGAAGATGCAAATACAGCGTGGTCTCTCATCGGGCAGATGGGCGAAGCTTTTCTGGAGAAACGTCTTGCGCATACGAACATCAAGTTTGATTTTCGGTACCATGGACGAAGCAAGATGCCAGCGCTTGTTGAGCAATCCGTGGTTGCTCCGACGTCGGCAAAAGACCCTGCCCGAGAAGGTCCCACGACCTCCAAGTTGCGGCAGATCGAGAATGTACTCCACCGTCTCACTGAGCTCTCAAAGAAGATTCACATCTACTTCCAGGGTACAGAGGGACCTTCACTAGAACATCAACTTAGTGCGCAGCGCCTGTGGGGCAAACTGCGTGCAAACATACCGCGTCTTCTTTCAGGACTGGATAATCTACCAGGTAGGCTCCCGACACTGGCCGAGATCGCATCTTGGCAGTCCTTATTAGATGAGAAGCATGCAGTCATTGTGAAAGAGAGAAAGCTTACACGTATAGCTGAATGGCGCAAACGTCTACGTACATCACTCCGCTACGAGGGTGGTCGTGACATGTATTCTTGGATCAAACAACGCCAATATCATTCACTCCATGCGGTACGAGGTTATCAATCCAAGGAGATAGTCACCAAGCGCACTGACATCCTGGACCACATCAACCGTTACTGGAGCACGATATTCAATAAACCTGATCTCTGTGACTGGGATAAGTTCTTTGCACGCTTTGGACGCTATATCCCTTCTTGCCAGTGCACCATCACTGACATCACAGGCTCCAGGCTGCTCAAGCAATTCAGAAAGATGGGAACTACACGTGCTGTGGCGGCCGATGGCTGGAGAGTCGGCGAGCTCCGATTGCTGCCTCTTACCATCTGCGAGCTGATAGCCGTTGCCCTTAAAGGTATTGAGGACCAGTGGCTCCCCTGGCCAGATGTTATGTGCACGGGTATCACGTCCTGTTTTCCTAAGTGGGACCCAGAGGCAGACCTTGCCTCGACCTGTGAACCAGATGAAGTGTGGCTGGCCACGGTTGATCAAACACGGCCGATCACCAACCTCTCGCCAATCTACACTGCCTTGACAGGCGACCGTTTCCAGCAGATGTCTCCCTGGAGAGAAGAGTGGCTCCATCAAGGAGCCGCGGGTGCAAGATCTGGACACCATTACCAATCTATCGCATGGGAGTTGAATATGGAAATAGAACACAGTCAACTCACGGGTACGTCGTTATCGGGTTGTACCGCAGACAGGAAGAAGTTCTTTGATTTACTGGAACATGATATCGGCAATCAACTCATGCAAGCTCTAGGCTGCCCTGCAGGAGTTCTCGCTGCAGAGAAGAGTTTTTATGCTGCTCTATCGACACATTGGAAGGTCGCACAAGCTGTGGGCCCCCCAACTATCAGAAAGAATGGATTTGTTCAAGGAGACTCATGGTCCTTGCAGCAGGCGCTAGCCCTCATGTCGGTATGGTCCAAGGCTCTGGAAGCCGAGGGCCCCGTCAGAGTCAGCAGTTTCATTGATGATGGAAACTTTCGCGCCGAAGGACCAGGTCATGCTGCAAAGACAACACGTG